GAAACGAAACATAAACGTGAATCCTATCTTGAGAGGTCACACACACGTCCCTAGGAATATATAGTGGGGTTACAATTTAGGAAAGGGAAATCGAAGAAAACGAAAAAAAAACAAGATGTTATCGTTAAAAACGCACTTACCAGAAGATTTGATCAAATTCGCACTTTCTTGGCTTCAAAATAAGTCTTGGATGGATTGAGAACAAAGAACTTGAAGAAAAATAGCTTAGGAAGTCAGCCTTAATTAGGTTTTTTAGAATGAAGGAATGGAATTCAGAAAAGGTGTGTATTTATACTAACAGATCGAATTTGGGCCGAAGTGAGCTAAAAAGTCTCGCGCACGCCTTGCATGCTACGTGCGTAAGGTGTACGTGCAGCACGTTATGTCACTCGGTCGGCAAACGGAATTTACACATGCCGTGCCTACCGTCGTACGTGATAGGCAGTAGCATCCTAGGTCACCCATCTTCCGCGCACGCCTTGTGTGGCTACCAGTAGCTCCTCTACACAATCCTACTACCATGCACGTCGTGCGTGACCCCCCATATGCCCCAACACCAAAATTTTGCTCTGTTTTTTCCACATCTGGGCCTCCCCTCAGTCCCACACACCAAACCAAATATATTAAACTTCCTACAAACGGTCTAAATTATATAGATCATAGGTTCGAATATTTCCCAAAATTTTGGGGTGTTACATATGGTTTTTGTTCATAGGGGAAATTATCGATGCAGTTATAGAGTTTCTTCCAGTATGGACGCACATTCCCCGAGGTGGTTCATGCACACTTGTTGGCTGAGGAAGCAGGGCTTTAGCAAGGATGAAACTGCAGTATGGAGTCCACGACAATTCGCCCTCTACCTATGACGATCTTGATGATGTTTTTCCCAGCCATACCTAGACCATTGTGCTTGATGGTGATGGATCCATCATCCAAGACTTTGTATTCATTGTATAATAATAATAATAATAATAATAATAATAATAATAATAATAATAATAATAATAATAATAATAATAATAATAATAATAATAATAATAATAATAATAATAATAATAATAATAATAATAATAATAATAATAATAATAATAATAATAATAATAATAATAATAATAATAATAATAATAATAATAATAATAATAATAATAATAATAATAATAATAATAATAATAATAATAATAATAATAATAATAATAATAATAATAATAATAATAATAATAATAATAATAATAATAATAATAATAATAATAATAATAATAATAATAATAATAATAATAATAATAATAATAATAATAATAATAATAATAATAATAATAATAATAATAATAATAATAATAATAATAATAATAATAATAATAATAATAATAATAATAATAATAATAATAATAATAATAATAATAATAATAATAATAATAATAATAATAATAATAATAATAATAATAATAATAATAATAATAATAATAATAATAATAATAATAATAATAATAATAATAATAATAATAATAATAATAATAATAATAATAATAATAATAATAATAATAATAATAATAATAATAATAATAATAATAATAATAATAATAATAATAATAATAATAATAATAATAATAATAATAATAATAATAATAATAATAATAATAATAATAATAATAATAATAATAATAATAATAATAATAATAATAATAATAATAATAATAATAATAATAATAATAATAATAATAATAATAATAATAATAATAATAATAATAATAATAATAATAATAATAATAATAATAATAATAATAATAATAATAATAATAATAATAATAATAATAATAATAATAATAATAATAATAACCACCACCACAACAACAATAATAAAACAATATAAGATATTTAACTAACAATTCTAATTTAATCAACAGAAAAGAAGTAATAAATATTGTACATGAGGTTGATATAATACATTAAACTCCTTTCTACAAATCAAGTTTTGTTCCATCACATAAATTATATAAATATAAAATAACTCAAATAACTTGTAGTTGATTGCACATATTTTACTTTACTATTTTCATGATATTTCTAATTATTAGATTTATTATGAATCAATAGAATGTAATAATGTTTTTTATATCTATACATGCAAATTCAATGTCTTTTTTTTATGTTTTGAAAGACTTGAAGTAGGCGTCCTATTCTTGGTACTATGATGACGAGTAACCTTCATCGCTCCGATACTACAACGATGTTCAATGTTTGATTTATTACATGAAAATTCAAATCACTTTTGTTCTATTAAGTGTTCAAAGTTCATTAGTTAAGTTTGAGCTTTGATGTTTGAAGTAATTAGAGCTTCAAATAAAATTTTAATACTCGTGTTTTTAATTTTCGGCGTGTTTAAAATTATGTGTTAATTCTTAGACAAGAAAAAATTATTCTAGGAACCGGTAAAAGGAAGAACCGAACCGTTTACTACCGGTTCGGTTCCATAACGGTTCTTGATTTTTATTCAGGAACCGAACCGATTTCATTAGTTAAAATTTTTATAACGGTTCCACTCATTTTGAGTAAGAACCGAACCGGTCCCAGCCCTAGGGTGTGGGGACCTCGACCCTTATATAGCTCTCCCAATCTCAAGGCATTTATGAATATTTCCATCGCCACCTTGTGATCCATACCATCCACTTTCACTGATTCGTCTCTTCCTCGAGCCATGAAAGTAGTTAAGGTCTCTCGATGTCCTTACATGACATCTAGGAGATGAGAAAGTTTTTTTTAATCTTTCGAGCTGGTGAATCGAGCGATAAAAGCCTGAGCCAACTCCCTGAAATTTTGGATCCTACCACCCGGCAGGGAATCATACCACTCTCAGGATGGCCCATCCAAGGTAACAGAAAATCCTTGACATCTTATGGCATCTTCATAGCACGTCATTACCATGTAGGCTATTATCGAGAAACATGGTGATGGTCGTTGGGTGTCGGATTTTCCTCGATAGACCTTGAGGTTACACAGTTTATACCCTTGTGGTAAGGGTGCATCCATGACTCTCTGAACAAACAGATATGGTACCCGAACCTATTGGGGATAAGCAGTTCCTCCATTTATATATCTCCTCAAGTCTTCCAACCTCCTCCTGAGGTCATTCATATCTCCGCCGATTTTATCCTGCGGTGGTGGCCAGCAGTGTATGTCATCGCCCACGATGTTCTTGACTTCTATCTCTATCACGCGCACTGGAGCGGTGAGAGGATTTAACTACCGAAGGCGCCCCCTGTTTTCCCCAATCCTCATGAGGCCTCCACCGCAATGGGTGGCAGCATGGAGGGCGCACAATGATGAGAGAGTTATCATGGCGTAGCCTTGGGTATTATCCCCTCAAAAGACGTAGTTATGGTGTCTACTTCTCTCTGAAAGGTGGTCAAACTTGTAAACACTTGGGCGGGGTCCATGCCCGTGAACAAGACCTCCGTCAGTAGGCATCCGCATCTATGACGGACAAACCACGATCTTCCTTGAGCCGCGACATTCGTTGTTAACACGTTCTTGTTTTGTCGCCCGAAAATCACTTCGACGAGAACAAGATTCTTCGTTTGAAACTTTGAATCAAGACTTGGTTAGCCCAGGCATCACCATGGTAGTTGCTAACATGTTTGTTATTGTGCGGTCCAACCATTGTTCAATACGGAAAAGAGATAATATATTAGCTATAACAACCGTCCCATAGGACCCGAGGTAGTTACTACTTACATGCTCTCAAGGCCTCTTGTACTGTCCTCACAAATCAACACAAGCCTTAAACGCACACTTTGTCCTCACTCGTGCGCACTCCGAGAAACTTCCTAGGGGGACACCTATCCCAAGACTACTCCCCTGCAAGCACGCTGAACTTGGAGTTCTTAGCTGATGAGCTCCCTTAAAAGGAGATGCACTTTGTTGGTATGAGTAATACTTATAATTCTTTTCAATTAATCTTGAGTGATACATTAGCTCCCAATGAAAGCACCAAATGATGAAGTATAATTTCAACTGCGAGAGCTAATCTAACAATAGGTTTGTTGTGCGTAAAATAGTTAATACTTTGGCAGCGTAAGTCTGTATTATTATTCCAGAGAATCGTTTATTCCAAATTATTTACAAGGAGTATTTATAGGCGTAGTATCATAATGCAATTAGAAGACCTAACTGATACAATTAATGACTCTAATCATAATAGGACTCATGTAACGTTTCTCCCATAACTCTTGCATTAGATGCCCCCTTGACGCCTAACTTTATGTAGGTGATTTCTGCCACTGCCATTCACCGTTTCCCGTTACAGGTCATATGCCATATAAGCCCTAGGAAAGTTCGAAATCAACTAGATTTCCACTAGGTCTGGCGCCTATTATCCATGTCGGTTCATGCGTTATTAATCCCGTAGTGGGCTTAGATCTCCCCGTTTAGGTATTAAGTATTATTTCAAATTATGTGATATGGGTTAGGCCCATAGTACCGTCAGATACATTGCGACATTTGGGGAGACTATAAATATGACTCAGGGGGTGTCTGGAATCGATTATGCTTCTGCTTCTTTTTTAAAAGCAGAAGCATAATCAGAATTGGTTTTCAGAAGCTGGTCTCCCCCAGCTTCAAAAAGACTGCTTCTAGGACTAAATTAGAGCTCCAGAAGTACTTTTGCACTTTCACTCAAAAACTCCAACTTGTGCTTTTGCTCCATGAAGGAGCATAAGCAGTTTTTAGAATCAGATCCAAACACCCCTCAATCTCCAGCACATGCTACTTTTTGTCTATCGTTGATGATTTTATTACTATATGTGTGTTGGTTTATTAAATAAAAAATAAATTTGATGTTCAACAAAATTTATTTCGATTCTATAACATAGTTGATATCCAATTCGAACAAAAGTTCAAATATGGTAACCCAAACAAATAACAAACCATAGCCCATAGGAGAGTTTTTGGGCCACGTGTTGTTTTGCAGCCCAAAATATATTTGCTTTAAGAAATGAGGCGTAAAAATGCAACTTTGAGGCACACTACCAACTCATGAACCTTAAAAGACGAGCTGAGCTACAAACAACTTATTGCTCTTTTGGCAATTAGGGTTTTAATTTAATTAAAGTTGGAATTCCCTCCCGGTGAAAGATATGGCTACAGCGGCAGCAGGATCCGGTGAAAAGAGGAAACCGGTGTTCGTTAAAGTCGACAGCCTGAAACCCGGGACTAACGGCCACACTCTCACGGTGAAGGTAATCAGTTCAACCGCTATAAAAAGCAGCGGCGGCGGAGGCGGAAGGAGAGGCGGCGGCGGACGGGCGTCGATGTCTCGTCCCGCCCCCCCTGCCCGTATAGCTGAGTGCCTTGTGGGTGATGAGACTGGGACAATCATTTTCACTGCCCGCAACGATCAAGGTGGATATGTTTAATCGCATGTATCATTGTCCATCTACGACTGTATGTATGAGTAGGTGTTTTGAAATTTGATTTTTCCTGTTTCAAAACTGATTAGCAGAGCTTACGATTTACATTTCTAGCTTCATTGCAACTGATGCTGGATAAAAATATATTATTGTTGCTGCTTCGACACAATTCATTTTGTTCTACAAAGGGATTTACAGCTCTGGTAGGAAGTTTAAATGCACACGTTTTCAACTCTCAAACTCATAAGATTCTGTGTTCACATTGGATAGTTGGGGCAAGAATTAAATTACTACTCCTAATTATGTAGGAAGCAGGATCATATTCTCTTGAATCTTAGTTGTAACAGAGATATGTGATGCCACAATAGTAATAGTTGTATTTCTTCACTGAGTTGTTTATAAGTAAGTATTGTGTGTGAATTATTATTTTGGGTGCAGTTGACACAATGACACCTGGCAATACTGTGATTATCCGAAATGCAAAGATCGACATGTTTAAGGGCTCAATGCGTTTAGCAGTAGACAAATGGGGACGTGTTGAGGTAACTGAAGAACCTGCTAATTTTGATGTTAAAGAGGACAACAATCTTTCTTTAGTTGAGTATGAATTGGTCAATGTTGAAGTGAAGGGATGAAAGGTGGTGGTGGTAGAGTGAATATATTTGAAAGGGGGACTCTTTTTACTTTTGTTTTTCTTGCATGGTTAACCTATTTCATTGGTTTCCTAATTGTGATGTTTGGCCTCAAGTTGGTCCTGTTCACATCTTGGCTGCGGGATTTCTTTTCCCTTCATTCTATGTTTACCTCTTGTCGGTCAAGGGTCTTAGGATCTAATTTGGATGTTTTCTCTCAATTTTTATGATGTGGTCAATTTTGTTATCTCATATGTATGTTTCTGATTTGATGGTGTAAATATGTTTCCATCCGAATGTTGATTTCATTGTATGTAGAGTTTTCCCTAAAATATTAATGAAATAAAATTCAAAATTAAGGAAGTTACCATGACGCTATTAGTGATACAACATGCAAGCCTTATTCCCAAAACAAATGAGGCTATTAGTGATATAATATTAATTTTTATAAGATGTTCCATTTTTGCTCATCATCTTTATTTTTATTATGGACTAAAAACATTTATTTCGTAAATTAGTTACTATCAAAACAATGTAAATTGAATATAGGTCGATCGCTACAATTTACTAATAATCTAATATGGTCCATTTGTATAAGATGTTACATTTTTGTTCATCTTTGTTTAAGTCATATATATGTCATTATTTATTACGGATTATTATTACTATTATTACTATTAATTCATTTATTAATTTTGTACTATTATTAATACATATTGTAATCACATTATTACATAGGATGTTTTTATTTGGATTGTTTTCAGTTCCATACAAAAACAAATTAGACCAAATTAGACTTTCATAGTTATAAAATACACAGAGATGAGACATTCACCAGATTAGTTCAGACCAGACTAACAAATTTCAGTCCAAGTAAAAACATCCTTTGGGTAGAACCAATTCGCGGAAACGGGTATGGGGATATGGCAAAACAAAAAAAAAGTAAGATACATATACGGCCATATGGCATGCGAGATGCACGGGGCAAATTTAGTGTAGGATAATAATTTGTTCAGATTTATTTTTTACTATACAATAGTATGTAATGTGAAAAGTATGTAATGTGAAATCTCGTCACAGAAAAAAAGATAATAGAGTTTATATAATAAGGTGGTGGTCATTTGAGACATACCTTGACTCATTATTGTTAAACTATCGGGATTAGATCCTCGTTTTTTCGGAAGAGAGGTACCTTATAATCGTATTTTCCAACTAAGAGTAATTTTAAGCTTATTTTTCAAATTAAGGTAGTTTTCTCTATGTCATCCCATTTTCACTGAGGTGTCATTACGATCGCCACATCAGCTGTTTTACGTCATCCCAGCAATTCCAACATTCAAATTCTAATAATTAACTCCGCTTTTAAAATATAAAAAAGTGGGAGACCTGGGAGACCATGGAACTTCGAAGTTCAAAGCCGCGGACAAAGCATCCAACATTCCAACACCCGTTTCTCAAGTAGCAGGGGTAGCACTCGACCAAAGTATTCTCTTGCTATGTAGTCTCCTTTTACGTAATCTATCCTGAGTTGGAAAAAATTATTGCTACACATTTTTTGTACACACTTATACACTCGTGTCTGTGAAGTGTTTTTTTGTCTGTATACAGACACAATGCATTTGAAGTGTCTGTGAAATAAGTTGTGTCTGTATACAGACAAAACAAAACACTTCACAGACACGAGTGTGTAAGTGTGTACAAAAATGTGTACCTCAAGCCTGCACCTTTAAATTGTGTCTTGCATGTTCTTAGGAAACATGTTACTCCTTTGCCAAACAATTAAAAATAGAATAAAAAGTTTAGTTTGAGACATTAAAGTAAAAAATAAAAACCTAATTTGGCGCAAGATGATGATGCCATAAATTTCTTTCTTTTTTATTCTTTTTTCTTTTTTCGAACGTGACCCAAAGTTTTGGTTGTTATACTTTTGACCCATTTTTAGAACAACAAATTTAAATTATAAATTTGATAAAAGGAATATAATAAAATTTAAATCACACAATATTATAAATAAAGTTTCAAATCGAAATAACATAATAACATAATACAAATGATACTTAAGAAAATAACATAATTAAAACTTTAGCACGATCTAGCTGCAAATCATTAAAATAATATTTGTATTACATAGAAGTAAATAAATTATTGAAAATTAAAATTATATTATACTCACAATATCCTTTTCAGAAGCACCACTTGGATTCAAATTCTCAACTTGCTTGACACACCCATTCATCCTTTGTGCCTGAGTAGTTATTATATCCATTCTTGAACGAATTGAGTGTATATTACGATGCTCGTTTTTTTACTTTGGCAAATTTTAATTATTTGGGGCATATTACGATGCTCGTAATTTTGTTTACGGTGTTCATTGTGATTGGATCTTGAGTAATGTTTAAATACACTTCACACAACAATGCGTCTTCCGCTATGGTGTAACTAGTTGATCTAAAAGTCATTTTGGTCGTAAAGAAAAAAGATATATTATAGATTGTGAGATAGGGGTTTTGTTGAAGTGTGATAATTCATTACATTAGTATTTATAGAATGTAGAGAGGTTGATAAGGAATCCTTAGATTACCCGTTGGGTGATTTCCTTATCTTCACAATCATTGGATTCTTATCTTTTGAGATAAGCATATTTGTCAGCTACGTATAATTTGTGATACAAGTTGATAACAAATCTTCAGATTACCCGTTAGATGAATTTCTGTATCTTCACAACCATTGGATTCTTATCTTTTGATATGAGCAGACTTGTCACGTACTACAGATGTGAGAGATACACAGGTTCTAGATGTTGAAGTGACAGTTGATGAGGCAGCGAGGTTCACTCAAATTTTTAACCGACATAGACAAATTCACGACAAAAACACTCATATTGAGCTTCACAATGCTTTAATTGATCATTTGTGGGGAAAAATCTCAAATTCCGACAACTAAACTAAGAATATTATTTAATTTACTGCTTTAAATTTAAGTAGTATTTTATTTATGACGTATGAATTATTATAATATTATTGTAATATTTAATTATATAAGGCTCTAACATGTATTTTTGAAATATTGATTATTGTATTTTTAATGCGTGAAACATGCGTAAAATATTGATTATAATAGTGTTTTAGCTTGTGTTAGTGAAATAATGAGTGAAATGCCAAAAGACATATTAAATGAGGAACTAATGTATAAATATATGATAAGTAGAGAATTATATATAATAATAGTAAAAAGTTAGTAAATGCGTATTCCTCTTTAGTTATAAAAATAGTGTAAATTGTTGGAGATAAAGTACTGTATGATGTGGTGTTTAGTTGCTTACACCATTTTAGTGTAAAAAATAGTGTAAACTTTTAGAAATGACCTAAAAACATTTATTTAGTAAATGTAGTTAATATCAAAACAATGTAAAGTGAATATAGGTCGATCACTACAAGTTACTAATATATAGTCCATTTGTATAAGATATTACATTTTTGTTCATCTTTATTTTAAGTTATATATATATTTATATATATATATATATCAATATTTATTACGGATTATTATTAGTATTAATTCATTTATTAATTTTGTACTATTATTCCTATATATATTGTAATCACATTAGTACATATCATGTTTTTACTTGGACTTTTTCGATGTAAGGGTCAGATTGGTACTCGAATTTGCATAAAAAGAGTCAAATAAGTCCTTATTGTCCGGCCGTCTCCATTTGAGGCGGTTCCCGGTAAAAAAAAATTGATGAAATTTTTTGAGCATATTATTCATCAAGTCTAGTTTACTCATACCAAATTTCAGCTAAAACTGCAATCGGGAAGGCATTCAAATGAATTCTTGAAGATAACTGCGCTTTTAACTTGTAATTTCTCATATGATGATTCCAAACATTTGACTGGTATGTCTAACTTAATTGTTGAAGAAAGTTTTTTCCGGAAAGTCTTGCTTAAAGAGAATATGCTCAAGGTAGTTTAAATCCTCAATTTAGAAATTATAGTCTCAAAACAATTAAAAAAGAAATTATAAGGCTTTATAAAGCGGATAAGGCAACATTACTAAAAAAAATCGCAAACTTTAATGGCCGTGTTAGTATTTGTAGTGACATATGGGAGGATACGTATCATCATTTATATTATTTGGATCTGACTGCACATTATATTTATGATGATTGGGAAATGCATAAATGTGTTCTTGCTTTTCGTGAATTTAATGATCGACACACTGCTGATAATAATTATCTTCTCATTGAGCGTATTTTAATTGAGCATAATTTGATTGATAAGGTGTTTGATGTGGGTTTTGATAATGCCAGTAATAATACTGCTGTTATACCTAGATTGCGTGAATTGTGTGGTTCAACTACTTTGATGGGTGGGTTTTTTCATCAACGATGTGCATGTCATATTATCAATTTATGTGTGCAAGACGGTCTAGCCGTGTTAGGAAAGGGTATGGACACAGTCAAGGGGGGAATTAGACGTATTTGGGCTAGTGGTCAACTTAAATTACAATGGCAAAATTATTTGAAAGAAAGAGGTGTGAGATATTGTGTTTTTCCTAAAGATTTGTTTATTCGCTGGAATAGTACTTACAAGTTAATTAAAGTACTTGTTAAATATAAAGAACATTTTCCTTCTTTTTTTAAAAGAATATGCTAACTATATTATAAACCCGGCTGACATCGACGATTGCGAAAAATTTGTGAAAGTTTTGGTTTTCTTTTTTAATGCAACTGAAACTTTTAGTCATGTTTATAAACCTACCTCAAACCAATTTTTTGTGGAAGTTGTTAATCTCGCTGGTGCTTTTAATGAATTTTTGAACGCCCCTTACGGCTTACGTTATTTATTTTTGTGATTTTATGAAGGAAAAGTTTTTTAAAATATTATGCACATATTCCGCATATTTATGGTATTGCATTTATTCTTGATCCTCGTTATAAACTTGGTACTTTGCAAGAATGTTTAAACTTCTATTATGCTGCTTTTTTTGGTCCATTTCGTATGTATGATGATAACCCCATAGATCCTAAACAAGAATTCAACGAGGTTAGTAATTTATTTTATCAATTATTTAATGAGTTTCATGCACAATATGACAACACCCCCCTCCCCCGACACGGACATCTTCATCTAAAGGAAAATCATTTTTGAAATCTACATTTGGTAATCTTATGAAAAAACCAAAACAACTCCCGCAACTTAACAAAGCTCAGTTAACGAGCTTTCTTTGTATTTAACATATCCTGTTGATTTTGAAGAAAATGATGACTTTGACGTCCTAAAATGGTGGAAGGAAAAAGAAATAATGTTCCCGGTTTTATCGAAGATGGCTAAGCAAGTGCTATCAATGTTGGTTTCAACAGTTGCC